TGATTTTGACCAGAAGGGCTATGCCGACGACAAGTCATCCGTATAGACTCGACGGGAAAACCTTAAAAAGTTAGAGTTATCTCGAAAACCTTTACCAACGACTTGTCATCTGGAAAATGCTCTAAAAAAATATTTTCCATCTATTTTAATTCCTTGTAACAAAAAGTCAAGACGTCGTCGTTTTTTTATCCTATCTCGACGACATGTTGTCGGTATAGTTGGATTAAAAATTAATTTTCGTTTTGTTTTTTATCTGTGTTGCAGAATATGTAAACAATGTCGTTTTGTCAGGATATACCGACGACATGTCGTCGGTAAAAGGGGTCCCCGATCCGCGTGAAATCCCTTTTTTATTTTATCTTATTTTTAATGACGTGAGGTAACACGATGATGTTGTGTTACCTATATCGACGACATGTGTCGGTATAGGGTTTTCCTTGTAACAAAACACCCCTCACTTTCTTTTTGCAGTCGGGCACACCATTTCGCTCTTAGGTTCGTCGACGATCGAGGGGCGTTCCAGCTGCTCTCGAGTTCATCGACCACCAAGGTAAGGGTTTTGGTGCTTGATTGCTTCTTAATTTGTAATAGTTTGGTCCATGATTTGTAATAATTTGGAGCCCTAAATCATAACCCCATTTCTCTGGGAAGAAGGTTCACCACCCCCATAGAAAAGGTATTCCGGTGATTGACCACATTTTAAGGTTAGTTTATTGAGTCTTTGTTTTCCTGCTTAAACTACCACACATAGTGACGATGAGTGTATGATTTTTTTTGTTGCTCCTTTCAATACACTATGATATGTATATGCAATTGTTTATGCACCATAATGTTGGATAAATCTTAAATGTTTTTTGAAAACAGATTTTGCTTTCTATGTGCATATATTGTGATATATACTACTTATCTACAATAAAAGTGGCGATAGAAGGCTTTAAGATCTAGATAATCAGATAAGAACCCAATCACACTCATTAATTTAGTTTCCCAACTCCGAGCAGAGATAGTGCCAAAAAATCTTAAACTACATAGATATACAGTTTTGCCCTCATGAAGGTTGAAGAGGCAAGTTATGATTTGTGAAAGCACTAACAAAGAGCATGCAACAAGGTCAACAATATATAAATATAAAAATGAATACGAAAAATAAATGAAAAAACTACAAAAATTCAAGGAATCATCTTCACAATTTGAGTTTATGTGCAACCTTATAGAACTAGCAAACAAACTTCATGTATACACTATGTTAAATTAGAAACATTACCTTAAAAAACATATTATTTTGAGTTACTTGATGTATTTTGTTATTGTTTGTATTGTAATGTGTTTAATATGGTTTCAAAATGTTTAGTTTTGTTAGTGACTTTATGTTGGTCATTACGACTTCAGCTTAATTAGATTATTAATAACAACGTACTTTTAGTAATTTTAAAATAATTATAATGTAAAGGTGAATTGATTTTAAAGAAAAATCAATAAAAACAATATATTAAATTAATTGTAAAACCAAATTAAATTAGTTTTAAAATCAAATTAATATTAATTTAAAACAAAATCAAATTAGTTATCTTGAGTTACTTGATGTATTTTGTTATTATTTGTATTGTAACGTGTATAATATGGTTTCAAAGTGTTTAGTTTTGTTAGTGACTTGATGTTGGTCATTACGACTTTAGCTTAATTAGGTTATTAATAGCAGTGTACTTTTAGTAATTTTAAAATAATTATAAAGTAAAGGTGAATTAATTTTTAAAAAAAATCAATAAAAACAAAATATTAAATTAATTGTGAAAAGAAATTAAATTAGTTTTAAAATCAAATTAATATTAATTTAAAACAAAATCAAATTAATTATCTTGAGTTACTTGATGTATTTTGTTATTATTTGTATTGTAATGTGTTTAATATGGTTTCAAAGTGTTTAGTTTTGTTAGTGACTCGATGTTGGTCATTACGACTTTAGCTTAATTAGGTTATTAATAGCAACGTACTTTTAGTAATTTTAAAATAATTATAAAGTAAAGGTGACTTAATTTAAAAAAAAATAATAAAAAAAATATTAGATTAATTTTAAAACCAAATTAAATTAGTTTTAAAATCAAATTAATATTAATTTAAAACAAAATCAAATTAATTATAAAATCAAATTAAATTAGTTTTAAAATCAAGTTAATATTAATATTAAAATAAAATAAAATTAATTATAAAATCAAATTGATATTATTTTCTTATTAAAACACGTTGAATCGTTGATTTTTAGTTTAAGTTTCTTCTGCATAACCATTGTGAATACTCAATCCAATCCGTTTGATTTTTACTTCTCGAGTACATATATTTTAATATACTTGTGAATATTCTATCCATCCTCGGGTATATATTTATTTATATAGCCCAAATACAATCTAACTTTCGATAACTATATATATATATATATATATATATATATATATATATATATATATATATATATATATATATATATATAATATAATATAATATAATATAATTTTAATAATGAAACAACAATGACAATCGATAAGAGTTCGATTAGAGAGAACCGGATGTCTTCAAAATACTTGGAATGTCTTAAAAACTTTATGAAGATTGCTGATAAACATGTCAACTCCAAAGGCATAGTACATTGCCCGTTCAAAACGTGTGTGAATTCGTATCGACATGTTTTGCCTACGGTTTATGCCCACTAACATGACATTGGGTTTCTAGAAACATATACTACGTGGATTCATCACGGTGAGAAACATGCCGGTTCTTCGGATTTAAGCTACAATTCGACTCCAAGAACAAACATTCCAGTATACACGCCCACAAGTAATGAGATGTTTGATGTAATTGACGATGTTATGGCGGAACAAAATACAAATCAAGAAAATATAGACGAGGAGGGGCGAGGTATAGACCCGAAATTTGATGATTTGTTTAAGGAGCTCAATACCAAGTTATACCCTGAATGTAGCAATATGTCTGCCTTAAACTTTTTGGCAAGGTTATTGCATATTAAAGTGATCAATAGATGGACAAATAGTTCGTTTGGAGGGCCTATACACATGAGATGGATGTATCCTTTTGAAAGATACATGAAAAAACTTAAAAATTATGTCAGAAACAAAGCCAAGCCAGAAGGCTCAATAGCAGAGGGTTATGTTGCAGACGAAGCTTTGACATTCTGCTATATGTATCTTGAGGGTATGCAAACAAAATTCAATCGGGTTGATAGAAATGAGGATCCTGGCCTTCCAAAAAGGCAATTTAATGTGTTCTCATCACAATATAGACCGATGTCCACTAAGAAGCTCGCCGAACTTTGTAAAGATGCTAAAAAATCATTACATTGGTTTGTACTAAACAATTGCGATGAGGATGAGCTGAAAGGATACATATCGTAAGTTTTGTGATCTATTAACTACTTTTCCGAGACTGCTATCATATCTTCAAACTATTCTAATTTTTTTTGTCTCACATCCAGCGAATTCAAATCAGAATCGCCTGAAAGTGATTTGAAAACAGAATTTCCTCCATGGTTCAAAAGAAAGGTAAATACCCTATATTCTAATTTATAATATAGAACTAATTTATATTGTTACTTAAATGTACAATATTATATTTCCTTATAGATTTATTGCCTCGAAAGAGAACCACCTTCAGAATGTACTAACGAATTAATGGCATTGGCACATGGTCCGTTAGATGGAACTTCTTACACCGTCTGCATAGTAAATGGTGTTCGATTTGTTGTGCTTAGCCGTGATCTCCAACGTACTACTCAAAATAGAGGCATTCTTACATTAGAAGTAGATGGTACACCATTCTACGATCAACCGGAGGACATCATAGAGTTGCACGATTTACATGGTTATTCAGTTGTACTCTTTCATTGTAAATGGTTCAATGCGTCATTAGGTAATGGACGTTTAATTAGTAAAAATAATATGGTTGTTATCGATACCAGTCATGAATGGTATGTCGGTAAAACATGGTATGACGATCAACAATACATCTTAGCCACTCAAGCTAAACAAGTGTTTTATCTACAAGATCCTACTCGAAATAATAACTGGAGAGTTATGGAAGATGTTCGTCATTGAAAACTTTGGGATCATCCAAGTATCGGTGTTAATGAGATAGATGTGGTGAATGACACTCGATCAAATGATTTTCCCTTGGCTGTCAATTTAGGTGATGATGATGATGATACATACTACGTTGACAGTGATGATATGTACTTTTTAGATAATGATGACGATGGTGAATCAAGTGTGGCTCCTACTATAAACGATGACAGTTTTTTTAATGATGATGATGATGGTGGTGATACGTACTCTTCAGATAATGATGACGATTTAATAAATGATGACTAATTTATTAATGATGATGTTGTACACGTATATTGTTCTAGTGATGATTTTGATTGATAGTATGTTACGGTTGTAATACATTTTGATTGCTTAAAATTGTTTATTAGTTTTTTTAAGTATGTTTAGTATATTTTATAATATTTGTTAAACAGATGGCTACACATGTTGCGAGGGGGCATGGAGGAGACGGCGGGGAACAACCTCCACATAAGCGTGTTGGCAAGATACCGACGGGTTGTCAATCTTGTAAGTTACATGAAATTCATAAATATATTGGATATATTTTTAAAGCTTTAAATTTCTAAATTTTTAGTTCTATGTGTCAATGTAGCAAACCCGATGCGTCGACATGGAAAAGGAAGATGCTTAAATATGCGAAAAGAGTTCAAGCACAACGGCCAACCTTTACCTGTAGATATTGATATCAGAAGAGGGGGGGGGGGGGGGGCTATAGATTCATAAATACAAATGGCAAAATGTTGACAAGGTTTATCTCAAACTTTGTTGCAGATCATATACCACTCCATTATAGGACTTGGAGACGTGTTCCTTTTCCATTACTATGAAGCTATGTATCCTAAGATTGAAGTAAGTAAAAAAAATACCTTTTATGTGAAAATTTTATACTTTTTAAATATTTTTTTACTAATTAAATTTGTTTTTTTTATTGCAGACATATTTTAATCTTGATATTTATCGGGGTACAGATATGTGGGAAGCCGTTCGAGCAACTGTACAGAGTGACTGTCAAAGAGCTTATAAAGAGCAAAACATGAAGTGAAAAATTATTTTGATAGTGTTGGTGGGTATACTGATGTTGAAGGTGCTAGATAATGTCCACCGGAGGATATGGACGACGAAGCTTGGGATAATATGATTGATCTTCTTTTTTTGGATGAGGCTTATAGGAAGCAGTGCAAAGAATGTAAAGAAAGCAGGTCCAAACTTCAAATTACGAGTTCTCATGGAAGTAGAACATATGCAGATAGACGACGTGAGGAGGTAATTAAATTTGTTGGTATTTTATAAATTTTTTTAACACTTATATAAATATATTAACTGTTTTTGAATTATTATAGACAGAAAAATGAGAAGACCCGCAACATATCGATGGTTGGAGAGATATGCGATTTAAAGAAAGTCGGGGTTGAAATACACCACAAGCAGAAATAATTTGGGTAAGTAATATACGAAGTTAATAAGTTGTTTGATAAATATGTTATTATTATTATTATAGTTAGTTTAAGGTATATTATCATTATTTTAGTGTATAAATTTAGTTATTTTTTTTTTAATTAATGTATTTTTATTGTTTTCTTTATTTTAGGAAAACATTCAACGAGAGAAGATGTTGATGCAGTTAGAGCTTCGAGAGAACGAAAAGTTAAATGAAGAACAATGTCTCGCTCGTGCCCTCAGTGAGATACGTGGGCATATGCGCGGAATTGGAAGGAAACCAAGCATCAGCAATAATTTATTTCCAAATGAATATACGAAATGTTCCCAAGCTTCCACATCCCAATCTTTAGATAATCCCCACGTTGTTGTATTATCCCAACAAATTGAAATCATGCAACAACAAATGCTACAAATGAACCAAATGTTTAATAACACTTTCGCGTCCGTTATTCCAAACTTCCAACCACAACCAATACCAGAATTCCAGTTTAATCTCAATATGTTTTCACAAAATAACCCCGAAACATCCAATGACACGAAGAGGATGATGATGATGATGATGTTAGTGATGGTGGTGATGATGATGATGATGATGAGGAGGAGGAGAACTAAAACGATAGTAACAACAATGTTTGTTAAAAACTTGCTTTTTTGGTTATGTAGTAGAATATGAATGATACGGTATGTAGTAGAATTTTAATGGTATGTTAGGTTTATTAAATGTTTTTGGATTTTAATGGTACGTTAGGTTTATTAAGTGCTTTTGGATTTTAATGGTATGTTATGTTATGTTATATTTATATTATTCTGGAAATATCTATTTTGGATTTGTTTTAAGAAACAAATTTGGTATATAAAAAAAAGCTGTGAAAAAAAAAACCAGGCTATACCGACGACATGTCGTTGGTACAACTTCGTAACGTTAAAAATGGTTTTTACCTTTCCACACGACATATCGTCGGTATTACACAGACTTTTCCCAACGACAAGTCGCCGGTATAAGTTCTCACGTTTCCCGACGACAAGTCGTCTGTAGAGGTTGTGAATAAAATTTTTTCTTATTTCATCGAAAATAAATCCCGACGATCCTTTGCCGACGACTTATCGTCTGGATTAGTTAATCTATACCGACGATTCTGTTTGGATTAGTTACTCTATACCGACGACTCCTGTCTCGACGGCTTTTTCAAATTTTACCGACGGATCTGTACCGACGACTTTTTATAGACGACATGTCGTCGGTATAAGCTTTACCGCCGACATTTCGTCGGTACCGGGTCCCTAATTGTTGTCTGCATAGGGCTCGATCCTTGTAGTGATTTGATTAAAGTTAATGCAGAATAAAAAAAGATTATGTACAACTTTTGTGATAAATGTTTCTGTCTACTCTGTTGTTATCATAGCAGAAAATTACATGGTTGTTGAACCAAAAATACCATAGAAAACCAAATAGTAATTTAACCAAGATCTTGGAATTACAATCATCCCACATTGAATAAAATATTAAATGTGCACCCTCTTAGCCTCCATACACACTAAACCCACATCGATACCAGCCTGAAGGCCTAAATACTCCATCAAGAATTCTCCTAGGTAGCCCTTCCCATACACACGTTATTCTTCCATACACTATTTACTCTAAAGGTTTTTTCTCCGTAAGTTCCACGTCCACACCATCGCATAATCATGCAATCCTAATTAACCAAGGAAACCTTAACATGCATTTGTCAATTCCCACGTTAATCAAGCAAGACTACAACACCAACTTTCTTTTATTCCCTTGTCTCACGCCTTTTACTTGTTGCTCACGAATTAACCACATTCCTAATTCCTTTACAACACCTCTATAAGTGTATCCCACATCACCAATAACATAAATTCAACCTCGCCAATTAACCTATAAATAGCGCATCAATTCATCACTTTCTAGAAATCTCTCATTCAATCTTTCAACAAGCTGTTCATCGACGTTAGCATCTGAAATCATCCCCAGGTAATTATGTTTTTAGGATGAGAACATTTTGTTGTTTATTTTTTCTTTTTGTTAACGGGACAATTATTTAGACATGGTAATTAACATGCATATTTAGACATAAAAACTTTAGTCGTTATATTGTTCTTCTTGAAGTGTTTATCTATACTTTTCTTGGCTACAAAGGAAGCCGGTTGTTGCAAATGGAAGCAAAAATATGGTCTTTTTTTATAGTTTTTTTTTATTACTATTATTTCATCCATGAAAAAAATTAAATCATACTCGTGATCAACCCATAATTTGATATAATTCTTCAACGTTTATGTGCTTGTGTATCATAGTCAAGGAAATTATCAATCTCCCATAAGACACATTACATCCTCCACTAGATTAAAACCATGGGACAAGTGTAGTCTAACATGTATGGTCAATGGTTGCAGCTTTCTAATGCACTCAATATTACTAACAAAAGCATCTTAATGACAACTTTAGTTTTTTCATTCTACTCGTTCGTCTGAGTCCAATAAGCATTATTTCTCAAAATGACTTATTTCTAATTTGTTTTTTCATGCACAAGAATTTCCAATTTTTTTACAAGTACATACAAGCGAGAATTTCTTTACTATTTCATTTTCCCACCTAGTAATTATTTTCGTGAAATGCATGAATCATGATAATGCTTATCCCATAAACTTAAAAAATTAGTTCCACTACTTTTTAACAATAGAAGATCTCTCACCTCATTTTCATTAATCAAAACGCACATAGCCTCCATATCCAATCCATTTTCAAATTCATCAACAACTTCTTTAATTCCAATTTGCATGTGTAGAACATTTTTAATGTAATCATCATCATCATCATCATCTTCTTATTCATCATGTTGCAAATTCATGCAAGAAATTCTTCTTCATCAACTTTGTGTTTTGATTTCACAATTCCTCATACTAGAAAGGAAACAATGCATGAAAATCCTAAAAAAAAAAATGTTTCTTGGATTAGGGTGATGAATGAGGAACTAAAATGACAAAGTTAGCTAAACTCAACTCAAGAAATTCGTTCTTAATAATTTTGATTGCATTAGTTAGCTTCAATCGTTCACCATATATGTTGATAACTCTCACACATGTTTTCCTATCCCGATAATCAAATTTATCTAGTTGGATATTTATTGTTAATGTCGTTGATGGCAACACATGAAATCAGTTGACATGGGTTTGATCAAGATTATGACATATTTGGAGACGAATAGTAATAATTGACAAACCTCTATCCAAACACCAGCCTAAGATTCCATTTTCTACATATTGGTTCCATAGAAGCCCAGTAAAGGTACATCCTACATACAGACACAAACAAAAATACTTGAGAATTGAAGAATAATATAGCTCCTTATATATGTTTTTCTTTCTAAATAATTAAAGGTTTACCAACCCACCTTCATTATAGGAATGGTCATCGCGCGAAGACATATGCTTGTTGGCATTAAAGTTAACGGGAGAAAATAACTTTTCATCATATGTCTGCAAACAAATGAAGCACAATATTCTCATAAGACAAACCATAAAAGATGCCGGTATCTGCTAACACCACTCATCTTTATATGAATCTTCAACTTGTTTTAGTCACACATGAAAAGTGTTGGTATCAATATTTATGTTGGTGATCTCGGGCCAATCTCAGGACTAGTTTGGGATAAGTTGCGGAGGTCTAATTGACAAGTTTTTTATTGCTTTAATTTGATGTTTGCTTGAACTATTTGTGTAGGGGAGAAAATGACATGTTGATGATGGAAAAGCCGTTTCAAATGACAAAGCAAAATTGTTGGATCGAGAAGTAGTATCACAAAACCTAAATGATGAAGGGTGATGAAGAATTGCATGAATGAAGGCCAAAGAATGCGAACACATTGTTCAGTCGGTTTTGTATCAATTTAATTTTAATATATTTAACTGCATACATCCATACATCCTATTTTACTTGGGAATGGTTCTAATTTGATGTTTGTTTGAATCATTTGTGTAGAAACAAAAACGGTGAAAAAACATTGGAAATACACATAGAAATGAAAAAAAAAAGAACCAAGAAGCACAAAAGACAACGTGACTACCGAGCTAAACGATGATGACGGTTTGCAATGTCGGAAGTTGAAGAATGCGAGCAAGTAGGACGAAAAAAAAAGCAAAATAGTGAGCGAAAAGATGTCACGGGGAAAATTGACTACGCTTAAGTGTGTTGATAATATCTGACTTCTCAACGCTTCGATTAATGTGATTCACGTTAATGTAGAATATAGAATAGATTGTCTACAAAGGTTCTGTCTACTCTATTGTTATCGTAGCTAAAAATTGCAAGAAGTTGAACCAAATATACCATAAAAAATCCCATATTTTTTTAACCAATATCTTAGAACAACCAACCCACATAGAATAAAATACTAGATCTTCACCCTCCCTCTTAGCCTCCTTACACAATAAAGCAACATTGGCACTTGCCTAAACAGTCAACACCATGAATTCTCCAAGCCTTTCTC